CCTTGGTCGTTTTTGGGGTTCCTTGGTCATTGTTGGGGTTCCTGGTCAACGTTTGGGTTCTTCAGTCATTGTTTGTGTTCCTTGGTCGTTTTTGGGGTTCCTTGGTCGTTGTTGCGCTGTCCTTGGTCGTCGCTGGGTTCCCTGGTCATTGCTGGGGTTCTCTGGCCATCGTTGGTGTGTCCTCGACCATCACCTGGGTGTCCTGGGCCACCATGGGGGTGTCCTGGGCCACTGACCCGTCCCCCTGCCCGCAGGACGTTGGCTACCAGCACGGCAAGCTGGTGTTCGAGGGCTGGAGCCGCGGGGACGTCATCGAGAAGATGGTGAAGGATCGGCGCTCGGCCGACTTCTACGAGAGCAAACGCATGGACGTGAGTGTGGGGACACCTGGGGACACCTGGGGACACCTGGGGGGACATGGCAGGGACACAGGGGGTGGTGGCTCGTTGGGGACCTGCCCCGGGCCACCCTGGCCTTGTCACCATCCTTTGATGGGTGTCACCTCTCGAGTGACCTCCCTGTCACTGCCACCCTGTTCCTGTCACCTTTTGTCCCCTTAGTGCCTCTCCTGTTCCTCCCTTTGTCCCCTGCCCCGTTGGTCCCTTCTGTGTCCTTCTCCTGCCATTTCTGTCCTCTCAGGTGCTCACCTGTCCCCTCACCTGTCCCCCCCCAGGTGCTCACCTGTCCCAGTGCGGGTTTCACAGACCTGGCTGAGATCGTGTCACGGATCGAGCCCGCCCAGCCCTACCTGTCCGATGGCTACGGCGACGGTGACAGCGGGGACAGCGACGGGGGACAACGGGGAGGGGACAGCGGGGACAGTGGGGACAGCAGGGACAGTGATGGGGGACAACGGGGACAGCAGGGACAGCACAGCGGGGACATGGGGACAGTGGGGACAGTGATGGGGGACAACAGGGACAGTGGGGACAGCGACAGGACAGCGCCACCGACAGGGGACAGCGACATGGGGAGGGGACAGAGGGGACAGTGGGGACAGGGAAGGGACACCGTGACAGGGGAGGGGAGACCCTGGGGTCTGGGATTTGGGATTTAGGGGTACAGATTTGGGACTGGGGTCTGGGATTTAGGGTTGAGATCTCTGATTTAGGGTTGGGCTCTCAGATTTGGGTCTAGGGGTGCAGATTTAGGGTCTGGGGTCCCTGATTTGGGTCTGGGGTCTCACTCAGCCCCGTTCCCCCCAGAGGAGTCCGATTACCTGACCGAGTACGAGGACGAGGGCCCGGAGTCGCTGCGGGGCGAGGAGGACGGGGCCGAGTGGGGCAGCAACGAGGCCGTGAGTGACCCCAAAACCAGGGGGGACCCCCAAAAATGGGAGAGACCCCAAAAAATGGGGGTGGGGGGGGTCCCGAGCACACCTGAGGGGCTGTGGGGTCATGGGGACCCCGAAAAATGGGGGGAAATGGGGATTTGGGGTTCCAGAAATGGAGATTTGGGGTTCTTGGGTTCGGGGTTTTTGAGTTTAGGGTCCCCAAGGTGCCCCTGAGCCCGGGTATGGGGGGGTGGGACCATGGGGATCTCAAAAAATTGGGTGGGGGGAGTCCCAAGGGGGTCGTGATCCCACCTGGGGGGGATGTGGGGTCATGGGGACCCTAAAAAATGGGGGGAAAATGGGGAAAAATGGAGATTTGGGGTTCCAAAAGTGGGGGTTTGGGGTTTTTGGGGTTGGGGTCCCAAGGGGCCTCGGGGACAGCCTGGACCCCCCCCCAGGTGCTGTGTCCCCAATGTCCCCAATGTCCCCCCAGGAGGACGAGAAGTCCCTTCGGCACCGCCCCAGCCTGGCCGGGACCCCCCCGCCCCCTCCCGCGGACCCCGACGGCTTCTGAGGGACCCGGGGTGGCACCGCCCCTCCCCCCACCCCAAAAATGGGGGTCCCCAATGTCCCCAACCCCAAAAATGGGGGTCCCTGCCCTGCCCCTCCCCCCCAGTTCTGGCACTTTCCCGCGGGGCTCGGGACCCCCAATGTCCCCTCAGTGTCCCCAGTGTCCCCCCAGTGTCCTCAGGGGGAGTCCTGGGACCCCAAATGTCCCCTCAGTGTCCCCTCCACTGCCCGGGGTGACACAGGGGGGTCACGGGACCCCAAATGTCCCCCCGCAATGTCCCCTCAATGTCCTCGGGGGGGTCCCGGGACCCCCAATGTCCCCCCCCCCCCCCCCCCCCCCCTCCCCCCCCCCCCCCCCCCCCCCCCCCCCCCCCCCCCCCCCCCCCCTCGCGCTGTTGCACTGTCCCACCCCCCCCGGCCGGCCAGGGGGGGGCGCTGCTGTAAATTTTATTTTTTTTTTTTTATTTTTAACGGTTCTTATGGAAATCCAGGCCGGCTGGATGGGTTCTTGATTAATTATTAATTATTAATTATCGGTTAATTATTAATTAATTATTGGTTAATTATTGATGCGTGTCTTCTTTATGAGGCGGTTCGGGAATTTTTAATTAAAAAATGATGCCGGTGTTGATGCCATGGGGCGGGAACGGACTGGGAACAGGTGTGGGACTGGTCCTCGCTTCCTATTGGTCCTGCCGCCCGTCAATCACTGCTCAGCCAATCACAGCCACGCACTTACGGCTCTCAGCCAATCGCAGCTCTCACAGCGGGGTGGGTGGGGCCTCGCCTCACGGGGCAGCCGCGGTTCCGTTCCTGCGCTCGGCCTGCTTCGGGCACTGCCCTGAGGCCGCGGCGGTACCGGAGCGGTACCGGAGCCGTGTCCGGGCGGGGAACGCGCTCCTGGTGCCGCCATTAAGGAAATTTGGGGTCCCCGGTTCCCTCCCGGTGCTCGCAGCTCCCGCACTTCCGCCTTTGTGGCGTCGGCACCCATTGGTCAGCGCAGCTGTCACTCATCGCTCTCAGCCAATCACGGCGAGGTCCCGGCGCCCCCTCAGGAGTAGCCGTTGTTATTCCTATTTTTTTTGGTTTAATTCCCAATTTTTGTATTTAATTCCAGCTTTATCGGTTTAATCCTCAATGTTTGTGTTTAATTCCCCGGTTTTTGGTTGAATTTCCCTTTTTTTTTTTTGTTTAAGCCGCAATTTTTGTGTTTAATTCCTGTTCTCGGGTTTGAATGCCCCTGGGTTTTTTGTTTAAGCCCCAATTTTAGGGTTAAATTCCCAATTTTTGTGTTCAATTCCCAATTCTTGTGTTTAATTCCCAGTTTTTGGGGATTTTGGCATCCACAATCCCTTCCCATCAAATCCCTGATATTTTTATTTCCCACCACCCCCCTCCCCATTCCCCATTTTTTCCCCAGCAAAAAGAATTCCAAACACTTCCAAAAACAAAAGAAAAAAACACCTCGATCAGGATTTATTTTTTCATTGCCACATTCCGCTCCCCCCTCCAAGAAAAAAAAAAAAAAAAAAAAAAAAATAAAAAAGGGATAGAGAGTCTCTCCCCTCCCCTTGTCACTAGCCATCCGTGCCAGGGAGGGTTCAATTCCCACCTTGGAAGCTGCCAGAACATTCCTGGGAAAAGTGAAAAAATTCGGGATCCTCCTTCGCCGAGGGGCCGGGAATTCC